CGCTTGAAAAATCAATATACCAGGGTACTCAACATGGGCGATCTACCCCACTGGTGGTTGATTTCAACTGTTCGCTTGGTGATGAGCAATTGAACAGGAAATGGTGGGCCATTGGCAATTTGTTTAAGTGATTTAGGATTTGATTTAGGATTTAAATTAACCGAAAAAATATTAAATGAACCCAAGAAAAAGAGGAAAGAATGGAATCTAAATGAAAGAAAATGGATCACATTGCTAGATAATATATAAATATCACCGCAAAGAACGAATATTATGGTATTTTCTATAGTTTTCAGAAAGGTCATTAGTATTCAAATAGTTCTACAGCATTTCTTTCGGTAATAAATCAAATAAGGGAAGAGCACTAACAACAAAAAGATAGTCGCTGAATTTTAATTTTTTGCTACTAGAGTATATTCTTTTTAATTTTATAATCATGAACAACACTGGATTATTTTTCGTGAAAACTTGCAACGCTAACCCCTACCAAAAAACTAACCTTGACCAAAAAAACTCAATTATTTATTTATATTATTTATCCCCTCAAGGACACATAGCACAGTGGATAAAGGCGTTGATCATATCCAGTGACAGGACCCAAACAGCGTGAGTTCAATACCCGGTTAAGGCAGTGGAAAACTTTCAGAGGGAAAATTAACAGCAGATAACTGATAACTAACATCCATTAAACATGGCACGTGGAACTAGAACATTCTACCCCAGTGAGCGAAATAAATTATATATATAATAAAAAGGCTTAAACACTAATATTCTATGGTTATAATTTATTACATTGGAATCGTAATTACGATTTACAGGAAATAGTCCGAATAATGTTAATTATTTATATCCACTGAGTTTTCAATTGTCAAGATAGCATCCGCTTGTTCTTCAATACGATATAGTTGAGCGTGATTTGTTACCTCCCTTTAATATTTTTGGTTACATCATAAAGTCAATTTACGAATTAGTATCAAACAATATTAGGATGCTTTTGTATAATTATTATACAGGTGGAAATGGGGGAATTATTCGGTGACAAATTGGGCAATGACGCAAAAAGTTTAGGAAGTCCTGGTATATACGCTGTCTCCCAGATACCGAGCATTGTTTCCCTGTAAATGTACCAATCTGTATATTTTTCTTTCGTAAATAAGAGTTCACTGCATAAATCTATTTGAAACAGAAGCACAAATTCCAAGAACGTTAACGGTTAATATAAAATAGAAATTAAATGATTTCGTACTATCAATACACTGACACATTCGCTTTGCTTTGAAAGAATGAGTGATCGAAAAGGAATGTCCGTTTACGCGTGAGTTTAAGACCAGGAATAGAATAAAAAATATATAATGTATTGTCAAAAACCGGATGTATTGTAGCGTCTTGTCGAACGTAATTCAATGAAGAAATGAATTGAATAAACATATATATTTTTCTTTTTCAATAATTTTGTAGTTTTTAAACTTAATAGTGATTAAATTTGGATTTTAAAATTGCAAGAAAATTCATCATATAATTTTATGATTAGTTAGTATAAATTATTTTAAAATTTAAAGATCTGAATAGCTATTAAGCAGGATTTCGTTGTCAAGCTTTTTTGAATCTTTCTATATCGTTTTGATTGGTTAAAGCTTTTGTAACAATGTTTCCCCCCCTAGTGTAGGATCGTTAATTAATCTGAAACTTTTAAAACCATTTATTTTCTTTTCAACATATCATGATAAGATAGAGTGTGTTGAAACAAAATATACTTTGTATTGAGCACTCTTTTTAAAATAGTAATTGTTGGTTATTGAATTCATTATATATACCAATTATATACTTTGATATATATATATATATATATATATATATATATATATATATATATGTATGTATTATGTATGTATGTATATTAGAGTTGAAGATAAACCTTCCAAAGTTCATATTAATTTTAAGCAATCTTGTCTTTAAATATAGTTTTCATATAAGTCCTTATTTAAAAAAAAAAAAAGAAAAGAAACCATTTCTGGTTATTTAATAATTCCAATAATAATGAATAATACATTTGCATCTCAAAGGTATATCGACCAAATTTCGACAAGTTGACAAAGCCTATGAGTAAATCTTGTGGGCCGAAATAGCTATTTGAGTTAATATTGGATTTCTGTTTTTGTGTATGTTAGGTTATATTTATTGGTAAACCTGTTCAATATGAGAAATAGAACGTCTCTATATATAAGGGTGAACACTGAAGTTAACACTTTGGGCTAAGAGTCAATTTCATGCTTCAATACAATCTTCAAGCCATAACATAACCTTGAAGGCTGAAATAGACTGTCCCTGCTTATTATTATCCGCAGTGTTAACTGATACACACACACACATAGTCACACACAACGCACACACACAAACACATGCATATATTCATGACCTTTCAATTCTGAATATGGTATTTAAGCAAACATTTGTAGCTTTAAATATTTTATATGTATATGTATGCATGTGTGTGTTTGTA